AGGATCCTCCTCAGCATTCGCAGCAAGGACCTCGCGGGGCTTGTAGTCCTTCTCGAACTGGGCCTCCAGTCCACGAACCATCGCCCGAGCTAAAGGCAAAGGGTACACCCCCGCTGGAGATGTGATCTTCGCCCCACCAATCACCGCCATGTGCTCATGGTCACGCTTGCAACGAACATCATGCAGCAAACTGGTAACGCTCGGTGAAGCACTAACCACCTGCGTAGCTTTCTTGTGCAACTGCCCAGTCGGGCCCTTCAAACCAAATCGGCGCTGGTCAAAGACCGCCTCATAGACGTTCTCCTCCTCGATGAAGCGCCTCATCTCAGGCTCCTTCCAAGCAAGTGAAGGTCGAGGATTCTCTAAAATGCAATGTCTCCCTTCTCGCAACTGCTGCCTGGCCACTCGGAGCGCAAAGTTCATGAGGATGCGCCCCGAAGACATTCTGGAAGGCCAGGTCATTCGGCTTTTGCTGTTCAGGTACTGCAAAGGGCTAAAGGATCCACAGGGAAAGGCTAGCACCACACAGTACGGTTTCTCCTTCTGAAGTCGCCGGAGAGCTTCTTCTCGATCACGACGGCGAAGAAAGTTCCATCCATTCTCCAGGCTCATTGCTGAACCCACCACATGGCCCCTCCTCATAGCTTCTTTCATGACATTCCGGGAGTTCGTGAAGACTTCAGCAACAAAGGGCCTCGTAGGGTCCGAGTTGTGCTCATTCGCAAGGGCCTCATGGATGTTTTTGGACAGGTCAATCACTTGGACAAAGGGCTCTTCGTTCAAATGGGCATTCATCTCCTCGAAGTACTCAACCTCGAGAGCATGCCGAACTTGCCGGGCACTTCGAGGGACCTTCGCACGATCTGAAACATGCTGGTTCCAAGCTTGTGCAATCAGATCGGCTTGCCCACGCTTCAGCTCTTGGTGGATCACGAAGGGGTTCAGCGATCCAGCACTGCCTCTCTCTCCTCTTGGCTCAGGAAGGGAATGTTCCCCTCTCCATACTGGGCGGCCAGTCTGGCCTCGAAGTCCTGCTCCAGACTCATGGCCACCTCTGCGCGAAAGTCCGGGTCGATCTTGTAGAGCTCCTCCATGTCCGGCCCCGCCTGGTAACCATCCGGCCCCACCTGGCACCCCATCTCGGTGTCGGCGATGAGACTGGGTTCTGTCATCTGCTCCCAGCGGGCGTTTCGGAGTTCTTGCATCTCCAACGCCATGCGGTCCAAGGCTGCATGGAAGTTCTTTTGCATCGCCTGAACTTGAGGCCAAGGCACATTCTCTGGCGGACGACTTCCCGAAGCCTCGCTCTTCAAGTTCTTGTAGAAGGTGGACTCCACGATGAATGGAGCCAGAGTAGGCTTCTTGCCGTCTCCCTTGGCCTTGGCTTTTGCGGAAGGTTTGGAGCCTTCCTTCAGCAATGCAACGGTCGGCTTGACCTTCTCCTTGATCTGCTCCACAGTGTCGGACGCTTGGATTGGGACGTTCAGCAATGCCGCCAGCTTCACAAGATCTTTTCGGAGAGTTGGTCGTCCACCTCGAGGTCCAATGAGCTCCCTCGCCTGTTGTTCCAACTCGCCAGCTGCGGCTGCTTCCTGGGCTTTGGTTTGAGCTTCCGCCAGAGCTGCGGACTTGACTTTCTGGCTCAAACCCTTGGCGGCCTTGGCCAACTTGAAGCCCTGAAGAACTGGATCTTCGCAAAATGAAGCGTCCAAACCAATGCGGTTCCGCCACTGGATGCATTCGCTCAGGTGGGCAAAGGTGAACTTGTCCGCCTCGTAGGCCTTCATCAAATCGCTTGCTTATCACCTTGTCCTTGGCTTGCTTCTGTCCTTGGTTGAACCAGGTGTCGGCTGTCGAGATTGCCGGGTAAGGCAAATGCAGATAGCGCAAATAGGACCTTGGCAAGCACCACAGCAGGACTCCTTTTGCTGCCCACATTATTGACCTTTCTCTCATGCGAAGGATCATCCTTCGCCAGCGCTGAGGGACTCGGATCACCGGGTCGTTTGGCATCATCATCAGCGCTCAAACTGGTAGTAGTCGAGGTCCGAGAAGAGGATGTAGTCCGGGAAGGCTTTCTCGCGGGTTGGCGAGGCATTGAGGCTTGAACCGCAGAGCCACGATCGGCCAAAACTGAACAAACGAGGTTTCCAAAGTGCAGGCTGCTTTCAGTGAGGAAGTGATCATGACCGTCAGGGTGCTGGGAAACAAAACGTGAGGTGCCATCAAAACGTGAATGCAACCAACGTGAAGCGCTCATCTGAATCTCAACGACACCATCGACTCCGAGTTTCCTCCAGCGCTGAGGGCCCAGGCCTGGCCATCGCTCCGGCAGCAAGCCAAGGAAGAAGTGGCCTGCCGAGAGCTGTCGTAGCCGGATTGGCGCAGCACCCAAAAGTTCACAGTGAAGCAGCTTCTTGCTAAAGTTCATCACTGCACCAACCGCTTCCAAAAAATCACGTCCAAGGAGCAGCCCCAACGAAGGAACATCTACAACTGAGGTCCAAAAACAAAGAACCACTCCCCCGACCATCGTGGGCAACCTCCACCTTTGAGAGCTTTTCTGGCAGCCACCATTACCAAACCTGAAGGTTTCGTTCTCATCCTCCACCAAAACCAAATCAAGTACAGCTTTGAGGGCACTTTCACGAAGACAGGTGAGGTAGCTGGAAAGCCATTCACAACCAGTGCAGGTGCGGTTGCAAGCACTGTCCAAAGCGCCAACCAGCCGCTTGTCTTTCGTGAGCCCTTGCACGAGGTTCACCTCTTTGGGCATGTGAGACTGGTTGAAGGCCGTCTCAAAGTCAGCCGTCAGCTTTTGAGGGCTGCACAAAACAGTCAAAACTTCATGGCTGCCGTCGGGGTCTGTGTGCTCGGTGTTCATGGTCTCGGTCACCTTGACCTGCTTCACGGGCGGTTTGCCCTTCTTCCGACCGAGTTGCTGGCCAGGCTTTTGGCATTCTGGATCTCCTGCCCAGTGTCCAGGCAGTCCGCAGTCGAAACACGGGCGCTTGTCCGACTGCTTCTTCAAACTCACCTTGCTTGCTCCAGGGCTGCCTCCTGAGGTTGAAGGCTTGCCATAGCCTCTGTCCTTGCGGACTTCTTGAAGTTTGGTGCGAGCTTCTTTCATCGTCAAGAAAGCCTCAGCAGCGGCCTCCACAGACTCTTCAACTTCATTCAGCGTCTCGGCATCGAGACCATCAGCTGCAGCCTCTTCAAGCTCTGTCGCCAGGATCTCAGCCTCGCTCTGCAAGACTTCCTCTAAACTTGGAGGATCAGGGGCTTCCTCCACCGGCTCATCAGCCGTCTCCTCCGGCTGCTCATCCACCTCCGACACCATGGCCTGCTTGGCCCCCATAGGCTTGCGGTAGCTGGTGAACCTGCCAGAAGACGCTGTGGAAGAGCCGCTTCGAAAGGACCTTGGTGCAGAACTGTTCATAGAAGGGGCATAAGAGGAAGCTCGACTTGGTGCTCCATGCTGCTGGCTCAAAAATCTTGATAAAAGGGGAGGTCTTTGATCTTGGCCACCATCGCCACGACGTTGGAGAGGGTCTGCCGAGTGCAGGTCTTTGAAAAGTCGAAGGACCTCCCTCTCGATGGTGCCATAGTCTTCTGAGCCTCCCAGGGCCGTTTCCAAAAGCTGGGACCTCAAGGCATCTAACCCCAGCTTGTGTTTGAGCCACCAGCCCAACTCGTTGTCCGAGATGACCACGCCCTCGGACTTCATCTCTGAAACCAAAGTCCTGAACCGGGTCGTGAACTCGGAGATCCTCTCGCCGCCCCGCCTTTTGAGCTCCAGGTAGACAACATGTCGGAGCTCTCCTCTCTTGTCTAAGGCCGTCCGGCCTGTCATCTCCTCGAGGGCGTTCAGGAGCTTGTTGATACCACTCAGGGGATCCTCAGGGATGATCACCTCTTCATCGCCAGTGGTGGCATTGGGCATCTTCACTTCCTGCTGGTAGGTCAGATCAGCAGGATCAAACTCCTCGCCCCTCTGGCGAACAACGCCAGATTGGCGAAGAAGCCACCGCGCCGCCAGGTTGTACTTCTTTGTTGACTGGATGTCGAGGCCAGCCAACCACCAGGACATCTCTCTCCTGAACGGGCGCCAAGTCTGGGGGCTCCCGTCCCATGTTGGGACGCGGCTCCAAGCTCCTGCATTGGCATCCTTCTCGTCTGCCATCGGTGGACCTGCGAAGGTCGCCTTCCTCGGGAAGGCTCTGCAAAGGGTGAAAGGGAGCAAAAACTCAAATTCAACTCCTCGGAGCCGTCTCCAGTCCTCTCGCTCCCTCAAAGGCGCGTGCCAGTCGAAAAGGAGGCCCAAAGAACCAAAAAAACAACCAAGGAAGTCTGTACCCTCCCTGTCGGACAACGCTGTCAGGAGCTCTGCCGTGAGCACCCACCTCGAAGGCCGGGACGAAGGGCTCGTGCACCAAAGGACCAAAGCAAAGGTCGCGGCCGCCTAGCCGCAAGCAAGAAAGCAAAGGTCGCGGCCGCCAAGCCGCTAGCAAAAAAGGAGCGCGCAGCAGCGAATGGCTCAGGATCGAACCAAAGAAGGCTCCGGTGCCACTGAGAAAGCACGACGGGGGCATGTCGCGCTTCAGCGATTTTCCACCGAGGCGAAAACAGCAGTAGCTATTGGCTTAGGCGCCTCCAGCCCAAACAACCACGACGTGAACATGTCCGGATCAAATGCGCTCATGCAAACATGCTTCTTCAATCTTCTTCACATATATACTCGCAAGGAATCTCTGCTGACTGGTTCGTGAAATGCCTATGATGAGATAGTGTTTCACTTTGCCTTGCTCTGAATCAACCATGCTTCCTTCCCCTACCACGAGATGGATGCCCGGGCACATGCAACAAGTTGATCTACTTTGGATCCAAAAAACCTCCAACGCATCTGAAGCCACTGAACCATGTAAAAGAAAAGCGACTCGTGTAATATCGTGTATTTTTGCACCCAAATCACCCAATCGCTCCGGTCGTTCGGGTCGCTCCAGCGTCAGCTGCTCCGAGTCCAAGGCATAGACCCTCTCAGCGCCCAGGCGCCCAGCCACCAGCGACCTGAGTCGTCGTCGTTTAACGAGCGACGCGTCTCCGTGGATTGGGGGATGCAACCCATCGCAACACCGAAAGGGATCGTTTAACGTCCAAGAGAACGTTGAGAACAAACATAGGGATACGGGTTCCATCATCTATTCTTGGGGCAACATGGTGACACTAAAGACCTCCAAAGCGCTTATTTTAGGACAAGAGTTGTTGAAGCCGCATTTGCGGGGTCTACTCGGAGTGTAAACAAACTGTGTGCTTGTGCCGCCTGTTTCTGTACCTGGACCAATGAATGGGGGCCACCAAATTCTATGATGCAGGGAATTGGAATTCCTTATGGTTCTGGGTAAACCCCTAATGCAAGCACTGAGCTCTCAGAATCTCTAGCAAAGTCGTTGACCATATTCAGATTTGGACATCAACTCTGAACATCATATATATATATATTTGAACTAGTATTGCATAAACGCTCCAGTCCAGCATATCAAATGGTATCAACATGGTCAACCTGATTTGACCTTTGAAGCCCTTTGAACTTATATACGAGTACATACGCACAGAGCCGCAAGTACAGTACCCCCAACAGCCACATACCAAACGATGGCAAGACTGCCCTCTAGCAGGACAGGACACCCAAGAGTATGATTTTGAATCGAGGGGTTCGAGGGCACTCCCTCCGGTGTTCTACAGTAGTCGCCGCTTTAGTCTGTGAGCGGATAATTTGTAGGGTGGAGGCCATCGCTATTAGGTTGGAGGCCATCGCTAGTAGGTTGGAGGCCATTGCTATTTGGTTGGAGGTCTTCACTGAGCTTCCTGACGGAAAGCCGGCACCGCAGCCAAGCTCAAGACAACTGAAGGGTTTCCCCTTGGGTGCCTCGTTACTCGGCAAAAGGGAGAGCTGCAGAAATCAATTCGTGAGTCATACCCGATTGCTGCCTGGATTGCCCAAGCAAGCTTATGATCACGACTCAATGTGAGAAACATAATTTAACATGTAAGCGGACTCTCCTTTACTCAGTTCCCAAGTCGATCTCAATTGTCTGGTTCGGCCATTGCCATCCTGCAACAGTTCGACCCCAAGCCCACCCAAGACACTTCTACGAGAAAGTTTGAACAAGTGTCGGCGCCAGCCATGCCAAGATCCCAGCTTTTTGAAGCACCACCTCAATGTGCTCCCGGCTGGGGTTCCAAAGGTTGCGGGGATGGGGCCGGCTACAGTGCTGCTCGGCTGCTGCCAGCTGGCGATCTGAAAAAGAGAAACATGGGGACCTTCAAGCACCAGTTTTCAACGTGGAGATAAGCCTGACTCAAGTTGGCAGTGCTCAACAAAAACACAATGACACCGCACTGACAACATCTTATCTGACTTACTTCCGGGAAGGCATTCTTGCATTTCGTTGTGCAACGCGTGGGTATTGGATGCATTTAATCGACGGCGGCAACCCATACTACTATATATATATAATAACACATCAAAACAGTGACGATGATCCATCAACAATCTTAAACAGGACTCTCAGCATTCTTGCAACCAGTGACAGCTCATGCTGTTGAACGCCACTCAAAGGGGACACCTATATTGGGACCCCCTCGCCTCTTGCGCCTTTCTCGCCTCGCGTCGCACAACTCGACGCCCCTCGCCTCTGCTGCGACAAAGGCAGCAGGCCACACACCAATGGCCTCGGGTGAAATCCATCGCGATGTCTGACCGGACATCTCCATGAATGCATATCAATGCATAAACGGCCGACATGCGTTGGAAAGTGGAAACTCCACCTCCAAACCTCAAAAACACCTCGTGTTTCGAATCTTTGGGCACCCCAAGTGCCCCAAACTCCATTTCAACAGGGTCGGTCTCTGCTACAAAATGTCTTCAAACACAACAAAAGCCTGAGCCACTGGACCCCATAGACGTCGGAGACTCCACTGTCACCCATCACTGGACTCAGCCACTCTGCAGGTACCTCTGTGAAGGCCCCACATGGCCAAGCAACAACACGCTTCTGAAAAGTGTGCAAGCTACAAGTAGCAAACAATATTTTGGCAGCTGTGAGTACTTTGAGTACTATTTGGGAATACTTGGGATTCACATGTTTGAGGAGATGTTCTCACATGTTCTCACCAAGTAGCTAAACACATCCAAACACAAACTGCAGCTTAGCACACAGGCTGGACTTGCACTTGCACTCATTCATAATTATTCCAATTTAGACATATTCTACATTGATATTGAATTACCAAATCAAGAGGACCATTTTGGCATGGTGTTGGGCCTGCAAAACATGGCATATTGTTCAGCCTGCTCTGCACTGAATGACCGAATCTCCACCCTGCCGCACCCACTCAGGGATATCCTCGTCAACACATTCTGCTTCCTGACCGAGCTGCGTGATGTACGGCATGATGATACCAAAGCAAATGGAATGTGGGGAAGACGGGGAACTCGCAACGCGTGCTTTCAACCACGAGAATAAATGGAAACTACAAAGACTATTCATGACAAGTGATCAAACAGGACAAAGTGTCAAGGCTTGTCCATGAAGATTCTCACGCTGTTCAGTTTTAGATTGTAAAGGTGGCTTGACTTGCAAAGTCACTTGATGCCTTTCCTTCTAGAGAAGGCAAAACATTGGAACGCCTTGGCTTCGTTAGTGTTCGATGGGAAATGCACGGTCACAAGTCACATGATCCCTCTTTTCGAGTGTTTGACATCCTGTTGCTTCCCACCCGATGCACTGTCCTCATCCACAACAAGAGCTGCAACGCTGCCTGTTCATGGATGACTGGGTGCAAACAAGGAATAAAACACAGTCTCTTTCCGAACCAGATGTAACCTAAAGACGGACGTCTAGTCTTTGTTACTTTCTACCTTTTGCAGGTATGTTCGCACTTGCTTTCACAAAATCGGCAAGACAACTGTCCTCGACTATGGCGAAGTAGTTGATGCCGCGTAAACATTCGTAGACAAATGACTGATACAAGACTGTGTCATAAACATGCACATTACTAATTACTGTACATCTAATTACTGAAGCTTCCAAAGGTCTCCAGCCGTCTTGTTTTCTTGGCGAAATACATCACATACCTTTGACCTCAATCATCTTGTGGGTGATTTATACAATCCTCTCGCAAGTCATTGCGCCTATCTCATGCGGAAGCTTCGCGATGATTGGTCGCACAGCATAGCCTCAGTCGGATGCACAAGGCAATCCCTTTGCGGATGGACAATTAAGCAAACTTCTCTTCCTACATCCTCTCTAGGCGTGAGCTTGGTCTTTAAAATGGAACAGGTACAGGAGCTCCGTTTCTGTGCCCTACGTGATAAGCCCGAATGGTGACACACTCCCCATACACGAACTTAGGTTGAATTCCATTCAAGTGGTCAAAAAACATATGTTTGACATGTCTCTTGTGTGTTGTGTGTCTTGTGCTATTGTTATATAGACATAATCACACAGTATATAAATATAATATGCTGTCACTGTATATACTTATATAATATGCATACAGGATTATACAGGATCACGCATGTGATCTCGTGCCGCGCCTCCATCTTTCAGGTCCACTTCGGGGTGGAATTCCAAATACATTAAGAAACAAACATGTCAAAGGATGGCAGAGATTCCAACATGCACTGCTCTGCTGCAAGTCGCTCACTTGTTCATCTTGCGGATGCCACACTGTGACAAATAATGCAGGAGAGGTTGTCAAAAAGTCTGATCTCTGGCCTAGCCAGTAGTCATTGTAACAGGCGTGGATTCGAACCTTAAATGTCACAACATGCACTTTGACAATCATCTTATCTTTCGCACACAAACTCATCCAGAATCCAGGCCATGAAAGAATCGAACGAAGCAATTGTGGCCAAGGATAGGGGCGTCGATTGTGCATAAGTACAGTGGATAGGAATATAGGAGTTAATATAGTTAATGTTGAACTTGAGTCTTTCTTAGCGACTAGATGAGCTATAATTATAGTAGTAGATATATTGAGGAATGTATGGCCAATCAAATTGGCATCTCCACTTCTTGGAAACCATGAACGACATCGCACCACCACAGCGCATCCCAGTCCCTGCTACACCCGATTTCCTTAAGCAAGCGAGTCACCACTGACACTGGTCGGCCAATCGGACAGAGAGTTGCGACCTGCAGCTCGTTTGCAATCGGCTGCTGGTGGTTAGACGTGGTTGGTCTCAACCAAATCAGTTCCCGCCATCTCATCATTCTTGGTAGATCTGGGAAGAGGAACTTAAGATTGAATGCATAGTGAAAGCACTTTGCGGGTCAACCTACTCTGCAACACACTGGTTTGGCCCCGGGACGTGCTTTTTGGATGTGAGCAGGGCACGGGTGGAGTCGGGTGGAGTGAACTCAGTGGATGCAAACCTAACTTGGGAAGGCAAAATTGGAGCGTGGAGGAAGAGCCCATATACTCTCCCCAGTGTTATAGCAGGCTTCTCGGACTCCAACGTGTTGATCATCTTTTTACTCGGCAGGTTGTCAAAGACAATTCGCATCCTCAAGCGGCGGCCAAACTCAACACAATGGTGTTTGATCTCAGAAAGACAGCCGGACAATGTGGACTCTCTCAAAAATCCGACGCTTCGAAATGGCAAAGAACCAAAGCCCTTAGAATATATATAATGTCATAGTCATAGCCCGCTCCAGAACCCGCCCTTATCGGTGCCAAGCCACGCAAGCACGACTCCTGAGCACGGGATTTAATCGTGTTTTAGCCCTGATTGATATGCATTTGCACAAAAACAATACTTACAAAAGAAATTGACAGACCTTGGTCTTGTCCTTTGATATCTTTTGACCTATAGCCTAGAGGCGGCATTTCTCTTGACTTCACCTGGGTCCCAATACACCCCGCACATGGATTGACAACGAACCCCAGCTTCAGTTAGTTACGACTGCGATGGGCAAAGGGGGAACATCCAAGAGCTTCACATGGTCTCCTTGAAGCCCTGCCTTCCAGTGGAATATCAAACAAGGATCAACATAAGTAATCTTGCATTCAAGGATGGAACCAGGCATTGGATCTGCACGCTGAACTCTTGCTCTCCATGAAACCATGAATTTGAAAGACTCCTGCTCCCATCCTATTCGTGGGACAAACTTGTGAACTCTTGTGAATTGTGGAGTTAGTTTTCTAGGAACCAATTCGTTAGTGCGAAAGCTTCCTTGAAGAAGAGTGAGCTATCCTGCATCCTAGCTGCTAGGACCTGGAGCAAACTTCTCCTTGTAGCTTACCTCCATAATTATATAAGTAAGCGTCTGCTTGATTAAGTAGGAGCTGGCTAAGCCTACTTAATTAAGTAAGGGTCACAGCATGAAGCCCTTGTCGGATGGGCTCAAACTGATCGGTCGCGGATCCGGCCTTGTGCGTTTGGCATCTCCTGGGAGTTGGCATCTCGGGTGCTTCTATGAGATCAGCCATTGATTTTCTAACTATGGTAACCTATAATATGTCTTCTGGATGACATTCCACGACCCTGCATGATCTTGCTATAGGCTATAGATGTCTCTGACTGGTACTGAAGGTGAGTTAATGGTCATCTACTCAGCCTCTTGCCAAGTCCCAAATCCGCTGATCCTGATCCTTCGCTTCAGGGGATCAAAAATGATGGATCCAGGGTTGTGACTGACATACTGAGTTTCTGGGGCCTATATATATGCTTTTGAGTGTCTTTGAATACAGCAGAGCAAAGCAGCAGCTTTGAGGTTTGTGGGTGCCAACAGCAGCTAGGGTATGACGGTATGTTAGTATGTTCAATTCATTTCCATTATATGCAAAGCGCAAGCGGCTTTTCCTGAAATGGGCTTTGGGCCTAAATTTGCCCAGTCGAGTCAACCTGCGTGTACATGCCTGAATGGTTGTCCTAGTCTGCCCCATCATCTTCTGACACTCCTCCTTCGTTCAGGCATGCGCAACAAATGCGGACCGCTCGTGCCACTGCAAAATGCGGGCATTCCGAGCTGAAGTGGAGAACACGTCCACTGGGGGTCATGCTGAGGTTATGAAATCTCCTTTTGAGTTTCATGCTGTACTTCTCAGCAATATCTCGCTCCAGCAGGAAATCATTGAGCTTCTCTTTCATCATCTTCAGTTCCTGCTCAAGTTCCTCCACACACAGGTCCCTCAGAAACAGTTCATTTGCTGTCTCTTCAAGTTCTCGCTCAAGTCGAGCGTTGGGCACTGACACTTGGGTCTCTTGGTCGACCCTCTTCACCTTCACACTCAGGTCAATCCCTTTGACCCACACCATGGCCTTCGTGATCTCCCGGATGAAGGCCTTCGTGCCCTCCAAGAACTCGCTGACGTAGCCCCTGGTCCACTTGATCAAGCTCAAGGCCCCGATGCAAGAAAGTGTGCATAGCATCATCCATACCCAACTTGTCTCTTCTCCTTCTTTCGCTTCTGTTGGGGCGCTTCCAACTTTGTTGATCGTGGCCAGCAGCATCAACAGTCCAATTCGTAGATCTTTGCTTTTGCCAAACTTCTTCACTCCTTGCTTCACTGTGTGCTGCTCCTCGATCTCCCGGAACTCCTGCTCACCCACTCGGTCACCCACAGCGTCCACCATACGCAGCATGAATTGTAGGCCCCTCAACCTCTTCCTCGGCAAGTTCTTGGTGCCGATGTCTGCGCTGTTGAGGTCCGTCGGAATTGCTGCCACTGTCAGGACCTTCTCTCGCTCTTTCTGCTGTATCCACAGCATTGAAGCATCTATGTGCCTGACTCTTCCTATCCCCTGTCTTTGGGTCATCCCTCTGGCTGCTGAGCTGTCCGACCTCGCTTTCATCTGGCATTCTTTTTCTGTGATCTTGTTTTACAGGTGCCTCACCAGCATGCCCTCCGAGCAGCCTGCCCTCCGAGCAGCCTGCCACCAATGCCATAAATTCGCTTTCTCCTGAAGAGAGAGCAATGGCCTTCTGGCTGCGGACCTTGCTGTCTATGAGGTTGCCATCAATGAACACCTGCATAGAGGTCGTTGACTTCCTGTCGTTCTTGTTCCCAGCATGGTCTGAGTCGGCGACCACCTCCACTAGGTGCTTCTCAGCATCTTCCACCTCCTCAACTTCTCTGAAGTCCATCATTGATTGGCCTTTCCTCCTTTCTTCAAGCCTCACTCCATAGCCACCTGTACCAAAGAGGTATGAACAGGTGTGCCAGGCATTCTTCGGGGCATTCTTTGTGGGCTTTGCCATGTGGCGTGCGAGACACTGGATAGCATATTGTGCGTCAGGGCGTTCTCCAGCCATGTACATCAGACGCCCCACGATGCTCCTGTATTTGGTGATCTCGACTCCTTCCAGGATTTCGGCGGAGTCATCCTTCTTCGTGAAGTTGACATCCAAAGGGGTCTTCCTGTAAAACTTGGAGTAGACATCAACTTCCTTCTCGAAGCTGTCATATTGCTTTCTGCCGCACCTGATGTCACAGCGTCTCATGCCCAGGTTGAACTGCCTCTTCAGGTAGAAGAATTTGTCACCTTGTCGGAATGGCCCTTTTTCCTCCACGTTCCATTGCTTCTCCTCCTTGAAGTATTGAATCAGCTCCCTCACTTTGTCTTCTCGTCCCACCATGAACACATCGTCCACGTGGACAGTGAGGTACAGGAGGTTGTCCAACAGCATCAACGTGGGCTGCATCAAGTCCTGTTGCATGCCAAAGTCCCTGCACGCTGATGCGAATAAGCCAAACCATTGGGAGGCAGCTGTTCTTTGGCCTGGGAGGCATCTCATCAACTGGTAGATGCGCTCCTCAATCTGGACATAGGCTCTCTCAGTAGCCGGTTGCGTTGCCATCAAAAAGGCATCTTTGATGTCCAGGGTGACCACCACGAACTCGCTCCTTACGTTCAACAGATAGTGAATCAACATCTTTGGCAGCATCATCATCGATGTCGGAGCGAACGTGGCCTCAAGATCTATGCTGTTCTTGAACTGTCTGGCCACCAGTCGTGCCCTGCGGAACCATCCTCCTCTCTCCAGGCGGTGTTTCCAGCACATCACCATTTTGGTGCTGATGGTGTAGCCCTCATTCTTCTCTACATCTGCTTTCTGGACTTCTACCATAGCGGGCATCTCTAGCATCCTCTGGATCTCCACATTGCATGCCTCCTTATCGAGCTGCTTCAGCTCATCCTCGGTCACCTCCGGTGGGTCATCACCTTCATCTCCTCCATATTCCATCCATTGCTCTTCAACCAACTCGTCTGGCATCAACTCCATGTCCACATCTTCATCTCCATGTGGTTCCAACCCGATTGCATCAATTCCTGCGTAATGCGGGGGATATAGATGCCCTGTGCCATGTGTCGGTGATATCCTTGGTGACCCTTCAGGCTCTCTTCTCATTTCGCCGCTTCCTGGTTGGTGTTCTGGTTCCACTCTGCCTTTCTTCGCCTCACTCTCATCAACCTCTTCTCCTTGCCTCTTTGCTGCAGTTCTCCTTGGGGAGTCTGTCACACCAACCTTCTTGTTTTCGCGTTCCCCTTCGCTCTTCTCCTCCTCAGTCGACTGCCTCTTCACTGCAGCCTTCGTAGGTGTCTGTGGTGCTTCACTCGTTGCCGGCCCAGTCACAGTAAGTGTGATCCCTGGTGTCATCAGTTGGCATCCTGGGGCCGGCGTAACAACGCCTGTTGCCACATCTTGAGCGATGGCCGTCATCTCTTCCTCGGTCACCTCCATCTCGAGTGTGGGTTGGCGATACCTCTGTGCTTTGCCAGCATGCTTCATCAGAATCCCTTGTGCTGAGTATAGCACCAGGGTAGGCCTTTCGCTGTGAAGATCTCCGAACCGTTGAGTACATGGTTGTCGTTCCATGGGTGTTTTGTCACCCATATGCCCTTCTCGAAGACTGCATTGCCTTTATTCCTGACTGGTCTCTTGAATAGCACGCTTTCCCCAAACAAAGCCAGTTTTCCTCTGTACGGGTGCCCGGTCGCCAATTCGAAGCTTGTCCGGTTGGTGGCCTTTAGGACTCGGAACCGGTTGACCAAGAAAGAGGCATGCTTGAACGACCAGGGATATATATATATATATATATATCAAAGTCTCCTTCAATGTTGATGCGGGCTCTATCCCCGACAAACCAACGCAAGCAATTTGCCATTTTTCTGATCGTCTGAACTGCCCGCTCCACTTGGCCGTTCGATGCATGTTGTCCAGCTCCGGTCAATCGGATTTCTGTCTTCATGCCCAGCACGTTCCTGACCTGCTGCACCGATCTGAGGATTTGCCTGGTTGCTCGTTCACTGTCAGCTTGAATGATGCAGGCGTCACGAGCTGAGTTCTCCAAGGCGAACCTGACAATCTCCTCGGTGATGGTCTTAAGGCTTGCACTTCCTTTGCTTGGCACCGGCACTGCGTGGATTGCCTTTGTCTCTGAACTGGTCATTACCAGCACCGTCCCATGCTGGTCTTGCCTTTCCATGACCTTATCCTGCACTGGCTTCTCTGATCGATCCTCTTCGCCAGTGTACGTGTAGCAGAAGTCGATCTGGATGATGTTCTTTCCAATGTCCTCCTCATTCTCCGACTTCTCGCGCTTGTCTTCTTTTGGACGGCTTGCTACACATGCTTGACACCAAGCTGCGAATGGCCAATGCGTCACGTTGCGCAGCTCTTGCTCTGCAAGGCTTGGAAGTTTGGGTTGTCCAAGCGTCACCGGTCTCCTTCTCTGTTCGTTGTATAGCTTGTGAGCCACTGCCAGGTGCATCTGATTCTCGAGGTTCACTTTAAAGGCCACTAGTCTCTCCAGTAGCTTCTTCTTGCTTCCGGTGTAGGCCAGCTGTCGTTCTTTGCAAGCCATTTGGAGCTCTTTCACTGTCATTTTCTCTGGAAATGTGACTTCGTCCAGCTCCACTTCATGTTGACGTTCTGCCACCACCATTTTCTCGATGTCGTGATGCATCTCTTGGGCTTCCAATTCTTCAAACTCCTCACCTTCTTCTTCCGACCACTCTAGGTGTCCAAAGGCTCCTTCCGTCAGGGGGTATGGTGCTATCGGGACTTCACGGCCAGCTTCCCACTATTCCTTGAAATGCTCTGGGGCGAAGAAACTCAGGGTCCGTTGAGGTTCTGTTGCGATGCTGATCCTGCGGAAAGATTTTGGTCCCTGGACATACTTGCTCAAATAGCTTTGTAGCACTTGTACCCTTGCAGCTTCTTGGTCCTCATTTGCCTGCACCGCAAAGATCCTTGCTTCACACTGCAATGAGTTCCTCTCTGTGTTCAGCGGGATGCCCACTGAGCGTCCTTCATGCCTGAGATGTAGGCTGCCTTCAACCTGCCCCGGCGACCATCCTCGCTTCAATAGCTTCCCAGCACATAGTATGGGGTGCTGCACACTCCCAAGGGCAAAGTCTTCATAGATCTCCACAACTTTCCCTTTCCGGTCCACCATCCTGATCTTTGCTCTTGTCATCCCACTGTGAGGGATCTTCTTTCCTTGGGCCTCGACCGTCTTCAACTGACCTCCTGCTTCTTGTCGCTCGCCCACACCTGCATAGTCTTTAGGCAGCACAGAGATGTCTGCCCCGCTGTCTACTGTGATCAGACAGCTTCCATTCTCCTCAAAATCTTGTCTCCTCACCATGCTCACCACCATCTCCTCAGGGTCTTGTAGATCCATTGCTACTATTGCCACGTCGTCTGGTACCTCCACTGCAGGTTCATAGCAATCTTGGTACTCTGACTCCTCGGCTTCATTGAACTCGTCCATCTCATAGACTTCAACTTCAACCATTCCCACACGCCATGGGAAGTTGTCTCCACTCTCTCCTCTGGGCGTAGTGAGGTCAAAGACCTCGAGTGATAAAGCATCTGGTGGAGTCTGCAACCTCACCATCTTGACTGAAGCCGTAGTTGTTGTAGCCCCAGCACCACCTGCATTGTTGCCTGTCGACGACGAGCTTGCTCCTCCTGCGTTCTGTTGCTCTTCCACTTGATTCACCCGCTTCCAGCATTCTCGGGCGAAATGACCTGTCTTACCACAGACATGGCAGGCTCCACTCTTCGTTCCTTTGCCTCCTTTATCGGCCACTTTGCCCTTCCTTGCAGGGCCTCTCTCCCAGAAGCTCTTCCCTTTGTCTCCTTTTCCTGAACCTCTGCCTTCTTTGCTTCCATACTTCCCTTTGTCTTTGCCTTTGTCCTTTCCTTTTGCTTCCTTTCCTTTTCCTTTGAGGCCTTTCTTTCCTTTGCCAACCTTGCCAATGTAGTCAACCTCCATCGGTGTTGCTTCATCACCAGTAGCTCTAGTGGGAAGCATCAAGGAGTTCGTTGAGTCCCATTTTGTCGTCACCGCCTCGAGCTGAATGATCCTGTCTTTGAGTTGCTCATATGTTGTTGCATCTGTAATCCATATAGGTGCAGATGCTGGCGGATTTGCAAAGGGCAGGCCAACAGAATCGACGCCACCTTGGCATCATCTGAGTATCTCTGGGATGATATCCGCTCATACTCCATGACCAATGCCTCAAATTGCGGCAGCTGTTCTGAAACTGTTTTCCCTTCCGCGAACTGAATGCGGGAAAGCTGGCTCAGAAGTGCTAGAGCCCTTGCCCTCGTCGCCGGCTGCATTTCCTTCAGCAGACACTGCCATGCTTCGAATCCATTCTCACTTTTCACATGGCGAATCAGTTTCAGTGGGCGCTGCCTCACATACGAAGTCAACAGGCTGTAAAGCCTCACGGCCCTCGCCTTCGTCTCGTCGGTCATGTCGTCGAACTTGTAGCTCTCATCCATGTTGTTCTCAACCATGTCCATGCTGGCTGCCATAGAAGGGTCAAGCCCCTTCACGTAGTTGAGGAAACCAAACTTCCAGTCTCCCCACAGTCTCAACTCAGCCTCTCTTCCTTCTGGCTTGAAGACATCGGGAGCCTTCAGATGACGTGCCCATCCTTGAGTCCTTGCCAACCTCTCTATAGGGCGGCTGCCACTTGCCTCAGGCTTTCCTCAGCCTTGGACTTCCACCCGAAGAATGAATGTCCTCGTCTCCACTGGTGCAAGGGGTGTCGGTGTCCCAAACTGCTGCAGACCTGCGTACGTTGGGATGTCCCAGAAATGCCAGTTGTACACTAGCTCGCTGGTCTCGTTCTCACCTGCTTCGTCCCGTAGAGCTTCTATGCGCTCCACAAACCTCCACTTTGCTGGTACTACGATGACCACTTCTTTCAACTCTGACTGGTCCTCCACGATCCTCTCGCTCTTTATCCACTTGATCTTGCTGATGTGCTCCTCTGTCTCCACCACCAGCGTGTGGATCCTCCGCACACGAGTCTTGCAGGTCAGGGGCAGAACCGAACTGGCTTGGTAGTATTGAATTTCATGCGCCGTCGAGATCCCAATGCCTCCAGCTAGACCTGCCAAAATCAAAAGCTCGAGGATCCAGATCGAAGCGAAAGATGGGCCTTCCCTGGATCGAATTGTCCTCTTCCTCCTCAATGGGGTTGTCGTGGAGCTCAAGCTCTTCGTCGTGCTCGTAGTGACCGTGGAGGGCGGAGCCCCGGCTCTTTACGGCCAGGGCTCCGCTACCATGCAAAGCGCAAGCGGCTTTTCCTGAAATGGGCTTTGGGCCTAAATTTGCCCAGTCGAGTCAACCTGCGTGTACATGCCTGAATGATTGTCCTAGTCTGCCCTACCATCTTCTGACATTATACATATAATGATATATATACATATGAAAGGGGGCGACTGCCCGTTCATCAAATAGTCATCAGATCTGGAATAAACTTGAGAAGGTTCCATGGAAACAGATTTATTTATGTCTCATTTGAAATCAAACATCCCCATTCACCGCAACCTGAGCTCGAAGCTCCTGCACATTGCCACGACGATAGCTCCCTGCTGGGAGTGGCAGGAAAGCAGTCCACACAAGGGCTCTTGACTTTCTACCATTAAACCTATTGGACACGAACTACGCTGCAAGTTGGACAATACCAACAACGATGCTTGTGGCAACCCTGTGTAATTACTTTAGAGCCTGCCATGTACCTTTTCCATCCTAAAGCTTTAAAGCAAGCCAAGGTTGGAGTGTGACACTCCGCATTGCTGGAATGCTATTGTCTGATTCCAGTCAATGTTATCAGCTGAGACTGCCGGATCAACCAATCTGCCACCTGTTGCAGGATTGAGTGTAGTAGATTGCGTGGTCTTTTGTGCAAAATAGTCAGTCACAACTTGAACAAGCATCAAGAAACGGCACTTCGTCAGTTTCATCCGCCATGGCTTCAATGGTCTCCTATGCCACTCTACCTATACATCTACATATATACCCACCACACCAGCGTCGCACCCTTCGTCTACCAGTGCAAACACTTTGACAACAGTAACGCTAAGGGTGCAACCAATGGACTGGTCTGGCTCAAAAGTCAAGACGGGAAGCCGTCTGCTGACCTATGACCTATGAGTCCATCCATTCCAAAGGCCTCCTTTACACCCACAATCCCAAAAACTACCACCCTTCTATTCTATGTCACTAAGCTCTAACATGCTCTAACAAAAGTTCTCAGAAAACATCAAGAACAATAGATGATCCAACCAAAGTAAGTAGTCAAACAAGGCATTCTTGGGAACCACTTATCCAACCTATCTATCTAGTCCATGTCCGATCGCAGTGTTCGCCTCAACCCAATGTGCCCCAAAGAGCGATGTACCAGTTGGACAGCAGCCAGAGCCACTAATGCCTAAGGTCTCGAGAAGCTTTAACCAACGAGTATCCAAGAGACTGAAGACTAGAATTGCACTTAGCTACTAGTAGCGTCCTTGCTACTAGGAGTAGTGGCCTCCAACCTAATAGCGATGGCCTCCAACCTACTAGCTTCTTGTTACTAAGGACATTCATGAGAATCCTTGTGAACATGTTTCAGGTCGGTATGACACGTGCATGAACAACGACCCCCGACATACCTCTCGGTATCGAGATTCCCGACCCGGCACTCGTAGAGTGTGGCGATGAACATGAGGTGACCAACCTGGAAGCAAATCCTGGAGATGGTTAAGTATCTTGGACCCGGATTAATACAGTACCGCCCTTCAATCATAGACATGCACTACTAAACTCGTTGTAACGCTACCAAATATATAATCGAAATTGCTCCCATGTTGCTCTGCATGAACATCCACAAATGAACAGGACACTCGAGCACCATGGTTTGGGTGCTGAATCTGAATCTTCACCTGGAACCCAGGCTAAATCACAGGATTAATCACAGCATATTTCCGAGCAAGTCCTGGCAATCCACCATGTTAATAATGTTCATTGATATCCAAAGCTAAGCTGCAGATACATTTTGTACATTTTCTCGGAGACCCACTCAGGAAACTCGTGGGATCTTGAAATACGTACTCTGAAACTCCTCGGGGCGCAGTAAGGTTCCAGCAAGAGAACACGTGGACAATGATAGAGTATGAAGCGATATCGTGCTGAGTCATCATCAGTACACGTTCACGGATTGATGCTGAAGTTGGTCTTGTTGCAGCTGCAACTAAGTGCGCCATGCAAGCCACAGTAGGTGGCCTAAAAATCATATCAAGGTGTGCCCTCATGCTAAGTTCGCTAAATCCTTGAGCGACGATCTATTTGCAAGACATCAAACAAAAGGCAAAAGTAAAAAACGGTAAAGGAAACGAAATCACACTGTTTCTTTTCGACTTTTCCAGACGTTTGACTTTTCGAGACTCAAACCTTTTGAAAATTTTGGATTTTTCGATGTTTGCGCTGGTCTCACTTCTCCGACTTACCGAATTAAGAAGAAAAATGTTCGTAAACCATGTAAAAATGTTCGTAAAACATGTAAAAGGAGGTTCTTTTGATATCACCTCAAAGTCATGCCTCTGCAATGAATTAAAAAAATTGGAACTTCCATTGCACCCTACCTTTCATTTAGGAGGAGTCCTGAAGGGAACGTTGAATTGATCATGTACACTGGAGACAAATACGGTTCCATATAAATATACATAGATATTGCCTTGACAGCGATCTTGATCCAAGACTATACTTACAGTTGCAAGAACATAGGCATATAAAAGTTGTATAAAAGATCAAGCCGTCAATCGTACAGTCGGTACAGTCGTAGAGTGTCAGAAGTCTTGCCTTTTTATATATGTCAGCCCCTACTACCAGGACCGGCGCAAACGTAATGAAACTATATGTGAGCAAACAGGGGGTATAGGACCCCCCCAGTCTATAGAGCCAAAACGTTCCAGCCCAGAGCATCTATAGAATCTATAGTCATCAATGGTGTTTTCCAGTGTTTTACATGTGTAGCTACTAGGGAACGACGCCACCAGGCGCCTGGTCGTTTCGGGGTTGCAATCGTCACGCCCCCCCTGAGGCTGCGGCGTTCACACACGCACCTTGTTTTTGACACACTTTCACGTTCTCCGCCGGTGTTCTACGCAACTTCTCACGTCGAAACACCCATTGCCACACACGCATCTCCAGCTTCGCTGAACGCGTGGCCTTCACACTTTTCACCTTCCCTTTTTTGTTGGCTGTTTGTGGCAGCCAGCATTTCAAGCTCTTCCAACCTGCATCAAGCGTTTGAGTGCCCGCTTCGCGTGACAACCCACGTGGAACGTTTTGGTCTGCGATGCGAACACTGTACTCTGTTGTCCGATGCACACAATGCAAGCACTTGATTTTCAAATGCGCAACGGCCTTGTTCGATGCCCTGGCGCCGTCTGCGTACAACGCAGCTGGTCTTGCAGCACTGACCCCATTGCCATAACGCGTGTGTCTGCGCGTGTGGAATGCAAACGTAAATGCATTGAACGTAAACGTCTGTGTGATCTGCACAAAAGCAAAAACCTATGAAGAACGCTACGCAACAGGCGTGCCAATATCCCAGCCTCACCCCCGCCACACGCACCCCATGTCAAGCCACTCGAACGTAGCACGCCATTTCAGACAAATAAAAAGCAAACAAAAACACCAGGCGCCCAGCAGCGACGATGGCAACAACTACCAGGCACAAATCCTAGGAGATTTGGGGCTGATGGCTTCAAAAGATTTCAAAAGCCTACAGTAGGGGGATCAATCCAAAGACAGCTTTATTCAGCTGAAAAGGGGGTGGGACCCCCCATGCCAAGACAAGGGACCGATAACTTTTGGACCTTCGCAAAATGTTCGGAGAGCGAGTAGATCCAGCTCACACATAGCAACCACAGTCTACTCTGAACTTGCTGTATCTCTCGCATACACACGACATGCCTGAGGTTGATGGTGGCAAAGCCGCAGGTATCATGGCATCAATCTGTTGGTGCCTAGTCCAACATTACAGAAGCAGCTAAAGTACAAAAATAGCTCAATCTTTCTCAGGCTTTGACGCCAGATACACTAAAATCATAGTGGGGTCCCCTGTAGAGCCAAAACGATATACAAAAAGTTATAAGTATGTGTATATAGTGTCAAACGGATCAAGTAATCCTTTCATGATATTTCCCAGTTATACGATTGGATAGTGGACCGATGAAAGAGTTCTTATAAATAACTCACTTCACAGCAAACATATTGAATATGCCCAGGCTCGCTACACTAGTTTCTTCCATCGGATATTTAAACAATCTGTTGTGGTGAAGGGTTTTGCTTGAGCTAAGTTTTGGCAAAGCCTGCAAAGTTGCGTGCCGCTTTGATCAGCAATGCAGGCAAGTGGATGCCTACAGTCCGATTGTACATTGACATGCTAGTGCACGGCCGATTCATCTCAAGGCTTGCATGAGTGGGTGAGCACACCAACACAGTCCAAACAACAAAAAGCCAAATCTGCACTCTGAAGCTGAAGATAGCGATCCAATGGACACACTATTGAATACAAAGAAATGATATATATATATATATATATCAGCCCTAAGTTTATAGAAGAAGAGCTCACACTTTTTCGCGTCTGTGTCACCGTGTCACCTGTAAATTATCGGCAACCATGCCATCTGGGCACCACAATGCAGCATGTCAGCAAAATAAGTTGTAGATTGAACCACTGAAAGCAATTCTGTACATCGATATATTTGTACATATTTGTACAAAAGACATCGAATTGGGTACGGACCCCAAATACCTTACAGTATGTAAACGAGCGACTCTGACTCAAGATTGAAAAGTGTGATTCTCATGCCCGAAAACACTCCCCAACCTCGGTGCATTTTGCCATCTTGTATGCCGCGATTCTTGGCTCATGCACATGTGGCGCCCAGCACCTAAATCTTTACGCGATCCTTCATCCGGCCACCGGTCGCTGTGGGCGCTGTGAGCACCGTCACTGATTCACTTTTTGAGCTCCAGGTATGTGGCGTAAATACCGGTGACTAAGACCAAACCTGGCCGCATTGACCCGCGGAGGATTGACCAAACCTTTTGGATCTCTTCGGAATTGGTAGTAGGAACGAACAACTACCCTGCAACGTTTTAGGAATACTGCCATGCTTGGCCATGCTGGTATGCCAACCCCGGTCAAAAACATACCTTATCATATTGATTGACTCTTCTGAAGCCCCCTATTGTGACATAAGTCTCCTCAGGATATGCTCAAATGGGGATGAGATCTTCGTGTGGTGCCATGCATGTTGGCTTCAAATTGGAAACGGTTCCTACTAACTATGAGAAACGTGCCTTTTACACATAAGCGGAAGGCCTTCAATCTACCAAACACCAACTGTTGTTGTTTCCGGTGCATGTTTCGTTGGGGCCTGTACACAGTAGTTGATGAAAACACATTGAATGACACCATATCTCAAGAATAAATCAAATGCAGTACCAAACAAGTGATGGAAAGTACTGTTCATACTGTTTCTGAGAGTGCTTTCAAATGACATGCTTGCTGGAATCATGGAATCCCACGATATGTGTCTTTCTTCAAGTACAAGCTCGAGGTCCCATGACAAAACACTACAAGAACATGCAACACACACACACACCATATCGAGCCCATATCACATCACTCCAGGTGAGAGGGGAGTTTCTTCTTCCCAACTGTTCCATCAAACTCAGTCAGCTAAAAGCCCGCAAACTGCTTAGTCAACCCCCCAAAAAGAGTCACCCCTTCGGCCATTGGGATTGGTTCTTTTAAGCAGCATCAGTCTAGGTTTGGCCATTGGGCATCATTAGGCCGTGTAGATGGTTTCGCTCCTTCGAGACCGCACATCATCTGCCTGAGATGGAACTCGCCGCGAAGCCAGCAGGCAAGTTGCCTGAGAGCCAGACAGAGAGCTGCAACTGTGCAGCGATTACGATCGCCTGCCATGTATGCCTTGGAAGTAGACCTGCTGGACAAATTCACATATCCTATAGGTCCTATGGCTCAAGAAACACGGTGCAACAGTGCAACACTGCAATACGTTCCTTCCCAATAAGGTAGATCGGCAGTCTGTCTATGTGAGATCACGGGTCACCATGTCATCTCGTCAATATTTTTCATATTCAGCGAACCACACAGTGTGACCTATTTGAACTCGTGCAGCCACCTTCCAACTATACGCATCCATAAAGAGCTGATCCAACATGGCACTTGCTGGAGCTCTGCAAGCTGAAAAATATGGTGTTTGAAGGCTTTCCGTGTCTTTCTCAGTCTACAGGGTAGATCAGAACCTCCCTGTCGATTTCATTCTTCTTGTGCCACACATCTTAAAACTGAAACCAATACAAAAACTCATTTCTAGAAAAGGCCGATTGTAAGTCGCGTGTTGTGACCGGGTGTGCCTTGAGTTTGATGAACATACGACTCTGACTCTACATATTCTCTATTTGCACAAGAAGCTACTACGAACAAAGGGTTGGCTGGTTCCCCACCAAGCTGATCGCTCCTTTGAGGGCCAAGAAGCCCTTCATGCGAGCCTTCCGGTCTTTGGCGTAAGCCAAAGCCCCGTAGGTGCGAAAGAAGGCGAAAAGGCCGAAGCAACAGGCAGTGGTCCAAGGGAACACGTAGCCCGCCAGGACTGTCCTGGAGGAGGACTGTCTGGTCTAAGCCGCCTCTGAGTCTCGACTTTCAATCTTTGTGTTGGCGAACTGAACAAATTGACAAGTGAGGCAATGCTTCTGTGGCGGCATTGTCTATTTGGGGTGAGGGAGAGTGGCTCTGGAATTTTGGGCATGCATCCAACTTTTGAGTATCTGAGGGTATGATAGGGTATGGCTTTGCAAATATTTCTCAAGACGGTTGGATGGCTTTTGGATTTGTCCTTCGAACATGTTCATAGAGCTTTGGGGGGTGCCTTTAACAGCTGAAGAACAACCATCTGAGGAAGGCTGAAAACACTCTGTTTCAGGGTTGATTAAGGTCATGATACCAGTCGACTCATTTAGATGCCATCCTTCCTTCATCTTCTTCATCGCCATTACGAGGTTTCGCTGAATCTATCTCAACAATTCCACCCGATGTTTCACACGGCTTCTTAGTGTCCCTCCGGATCTTCCATGCGTGCTCCTGGCGTTCATGTTTCTGAGCTCTACACCCTCCTGTTGAAACCCCAGCCCTTCTTGCAGTTTGATGCACTGACCCAAGCAACAAAACAAACGAGACCGCAAAAGAGCACATCATACTGCCAATTCCCTGGTCTGATGGATGTTCATGTTTTTCTTGGTTGATGGATTTGAATCCTGGGCAACAGAAGAAAATTCAGATAATCCTTCATTTCTTTGCAGCCCAGTTGGGGCCCAGTTGGCGAGGAGGCCCTAAGTTTAATTTGGACAATAACAAAGTTACTACTGGTACATACTAATACTATTGTTACTATTACTACTACTACTACTACTACTACCACCATGCAGACCTTTGCCAACAGTTTGTTGCAAAGCAATGTATTCCTCTCCCCAACCCCAGCCACAGAGTGTCAGTCACTGTGGTCACTGTGCTTTGAGTCAAATAACACATCCAGCTGCTCTTCTCAACCCTTTGTCCAAGATGCTCGATGGTCAAAGGAAAAAGCTGCTCAAAGATGTTCTGCACCCCTCGCTGCGCACGATTGAAGGTACCAAAGGCTCCCTCCTGTTCGATTGTGATCACACTGCGATCGAGCTTCACCCCATTGGACACCCATAATCAATTTAATATATCTAAATTATATACACACAATAAAAAAACAAACTCATATATGGGATCTCGTCAAAATGTCTTCTCCCAAAAATGGCAGAATGTCGTGTTCACATTGGGGCCCGCTACATATTCTTTACTTTTGGCGCACACACACAGCTGATTAATGAAGGAAACATTGACCAAACAAGGATTGGCACCAAATTGTGAGAGGTGTCGCTAGTGCTGCACCGTTTTCAGCTGCCCTCCGAGGAAGTTGAACCATTGCTGTCTGAACTCTGTGCCTTTTCAAGCACCGCTTGAAACAAAAGACGTGTTGCAAGTCAGCCTTGGAAGGGTCCACGCTGGAATCTGGCAATTTTTGCTAGCGTGGGTCTAGCGCAGTGCTAGCGCGCGGCCAGCGCATCTTTTGGCCAGCCACTTTTCAAAACCTGACAAGGTTCTGAACATGTCCTAAGTCAAACACTAGCGCAAGCCTAGTGGCTCAGCTGCAGAGTAGGTGTGTTTAGCTGGGGGCCCGCTACATAATCTAATTAAAGAACAACATCATGAGCTACTTTCGACCCCTTTATCTAAATTGTTTGATTAATGTTGCATCCTAATTAGTAGAATGGGACACAATAGTAAAAAGTGTTCGCCAAATTATTCACACACCCTGATTAGTTCTATGGGACAGAATAATAAACGTTTTTTCACCCAGGGTGTTTTTTTTTTCGTGAGGTTTGTTTTCTATATAGATTTATAGTGACGGAGGACAATCACTTAGAACAAATCGGTGAAAAAGAAACAAGAAAATGGAGCTGCAAAACCTTAGACTTAGAACATGCAAAAACCTGACACTTAGAACATGATAAGCCCATCACTTAGAACAAACAGAGCTCATTCGTTCTAAATGTATCTGAATTTGTTCTAAGCGCTTGTCCGTCACTATTCAAGGTTGGGTACACATTTGACGCGATTGGGTTGAAATGCTGTAGGGTCGCTACGAGGAGCAAGGATGCTACTAGGGGCTCCCGGCCTTACTACTAGAAACAGGGTTCGCTACGCGCAAGGACGCTACTAGGGGCTCCTGGCCTTACTACTAGTCACAAGAAGCTACTAGTAACAAAGGGCATCGCCACTACATAGGTGCAAGGATGCTACTAGGGGCTCCTGGCCTTACTACTAGGAAAAAGGTTCGCTACTAGTAACAAAGGGCATCGCTGCTAGGAGCAAGGATGCAGCTAGGGGCTTGTACTATGTGCTGGGTCCTCGGCA